TGGGGTCCGGCGCCGCGGGCCAGCCGAGCCGTTGGGGCCCGTGGCCCGCCGGTGCGCCCGCGCTCCCGCCTTCCCCGCCGCCCGGCCCGCCCCGCCCCGCCCGGCGCGGGAAAGGTGGCGCGGACCGCGGGCGGCTGGCAGGGCGCGGACAAAGGTCTCTAGCCCCGGACGGGGCTTGGGGTAGTTGGATCCCCCGAGAAAGTTTGCATTCCTGGGCCCCTTCCTTTTGAACATGCATTGGGGTAATTTGCTATGGTGACAACAATCTTGGTCACAGTCACCCTTTATTTGCTTACTGATCTCTTTCCGCCGCCTCGATTAGTCTGCACACCAGCCCCTTGGGAGATGGGATGGTTCCCCTTTTTGCACATGGGAAACGCAAGCTCGGAGAGACGATGAGCGGGCCCAGGGCGCGCGGGCGGAGTGGGGATTCGAACCCAGGCCGCGGCGACTCCCCAGCCGCTGCGCCTGCACGTGGACCTTCGAGGCTGCGCCGCCCGGGCCTGGCCCCCGATGCTTCCGGAGCTTCTGGAGGCTGTGCTCGCGTTGGGTATCCCGGACCGGGCGGCGGAACCGCGTTTCCCCACCTGCGGCTGGGAAGCCTTTCTTCCCGGTGTTTCAGTCCAGGAGGGAGCTGGGGCTCCCTGGGCGGGTGTACCTGGACGGCATTTTTCCTTCGGGTGGGCTGTGACCTTGGCGCTGGTCCACGTCCTCTTGAATGGTTTTCTTGCGGCACCTGGTCTCCCTTCCCTTCTCTGCCAGGAGTAAATAGATCAGCTTGCATTCTCTAGGGAGGGAAATGCAGTTTACAGACGTTAGTTCAGGTCATGGTTGTGAAACGTTCTCAGTTTTCCGACCCGCATATATTTAAAATGTGTGTTCTGACTGATTATAAAGGTAGTGTACGTTGCTTTGAACATCCCTGAATGAGCTGTAATTAATGCATGGATTAAGTTGTAAGTGTTCAAAGCATTTGGGTTTATTTCTGTTAATCTAAATGGAGTTGTAAGAAAACAGGGGTGATGACAACCTCCTTTTGGAAGTACAGTCCTTTTCATTAAGGTATAATTTTATATATTTAGAGTGGTTTGGAATGAAAACCTCTCTTCTGAAAGCTGACGGAGTCTGGAAAGCGTTTGAAATGAAAGGTATCCGGTCCGTGAGTTCCGTAGGCTCATGCGCTGTGGAAAAGAAGAGCTAGGACTCTCCTTTAAAAGACAAAAAAAAAAAAAGAAGAAGAAGAAGAAGAAGAAGATACAGAATGTTCTGGGCAGCGCTCAAAACCTCCCTTTTCCCTATGAACTTGGTTTCTCTGCCTGGATTTTTGGCTGGCAACTGTAGTCATTTCACTAAAGAATTGAGATTTTCAGTTCTTTGCTTTACGTTTGGTGGTGAAAATATTGCCAGTCAAACATCTACTGTTAGGGGTATTCAGAAAGCCCAGGCAACTTAGCACAAACCCTTCATTTTTTAGATCAATGTATTTTTTCCCTTTATAACTGTCTGGTATGTCTCAAGCCCGCTGAATTATGAGTCACCTGGGGTGAAATTAGAACCATAGACAGGGAAGAGCTGGGAATCCTTATTGTTCAACAAGTATCTCAGATGAGTCTCTGATCAAGCAAGTGTGGGCACCTGGACCAGGAGCTCTCCTTACTGAAGTCAAGATGGCCAATGCCCTTTTTATGTTTTTAAACAAAGGAGTGTGAAGTTCGCTTCTCTTCTTATCTATAGAGCATCTTACTTGCTTCTGTGTAGGGAGAGCCTTAGACTGCTCCTGATTTGGCAGATAAACTGCTTCCCTGCCAGCAGGATTTCCAAAAGACTCAACAGAAACCCAGTTCTCCAGACTTCTCATCATAAAAGAAATCTCCCGAAGGGGACAGAGCAACGGGTTATGGCTTTTCTGCTTTCTCTCTGGTTCCATGTCGTGGAAAATGCTCAGATCTGGGCCTGTGTTTCTGAAGTTTTGATAGTCGAGCGGCATATTTATTTGCCTAGTCTGTCCAGGGCTGGGGTGCCCGTGGCTATGTAAGAAATATTTGTCCACGGCGTTGACAATGAGTTTAAAACCAACTCAGTCATAACTGGGAAGACCAGCTCCTTGTGTGCAATGCGTAGGTTCATACTGTAAATTAAAAACTACTAACCACGTAGCAAGTTTAGAGTAAGTTTTGTCTGATTAAGAAGCAGCTTGGTTTTATCACAGGCCATGACCGTTTCTTCCGCTTTTTCTGAAGTTCTTGACGTTTGCTTTGCTTATTCTGGTTTTTTGGGTAGTAAGGAATGTATGATTTGTAGCAATAAATATTCTGTTCTCTCTCTTCCACTCTGACCACTGGCAGGTATAACGAACCACGGGGTATGTCTATGAAGCAGAAATATCCTGGTGTTTTTTTTCATCAACAATGATACTAAAATGGCCTCCTTAGGCCACGGCACCCTGGGCTGTGTCTGGCACATAGTAGGTACTCTGGAGATTTACAGCCTTTTAAAACATTTTTTTCTTGGTTTGTTAATTGCTAAAAACTAATCAGGAGGCATTTTCTTCTAAGCAAGTTCTCGACGGAAAGCTTGCCCCGTATTCACTCTCTCAAGCTCATGCCACTCGTGAAAGGAATTCCTGATTCTGATCTCTTAGGATGTTCCAGCACTGAGAAGCCACTGTCTAATGTCTAAAGGCAGCTTCTGAAGCTTCAGAATCTGTTTGTTTCCGTGGGAGACCATGAAAGTGCGCTGGTCGTGGATCTCCACTGGGAGCGCGTTCGTGGAGGAACGGCCACTTACCGCTGTTATACATCTTATTTAATAAAAGGATGCTAAACCCTTGGATGTTTCCAGGAAGGGGATACAAAAATGATTTGGTGTTTTTATGATATCCTACTGCCTCCACCCAGATCCAGTTCAATCATCATCCCGTCCTCCTCCTGAGAAAGGCGGTTGGTAGCAATGAAATGAATCCCATTGAAGAGCGTGACCACGAGTGTGCACCCAGCAGGTTGCAGGAAATTTATATTTTCCAATTTTTCTTTCTCCTTCCCTTTATAATAATCTCATGAAGTTGTCATCAATTTTGGCAATAGGTCCCAGTATTCCTTTATGAAAATTATTTGAGTTTTTTTTCCCTTTCGAATTCTTTTTGTTTTTTTGAGTGTCAAAAGAATAAAACACAGCGGCCAGCCCTGTGGCCGAGTGGTTAAGTTCACGCTCTCTGCTTCGGCGGCCCAGGGTTTCGCCGGTTCAGATCCTGAGCGCGGACAGAGCACTGCTCATCTGGCCATGCTGAGGCAGCATCCTACATGCCACAACGAGAAAGACCCACAACTAAAATATACAACTATGTACTGGGGGGCTTTGGGAGAAAAAGGAAAAATAAAAAATCTTAAAAAAAAAAAAAAAAGAATAAAAACCAGAGGCCTTTGTGTCTGTCACTCCACAAAACTGAGCTGATGTTACCAGGCTGTAGGTTCCAGGGGGCTTATTTTAATCAGTATAAAGAAAAACTTTCTAACAATGAGAGCGATGCCGGGCCGGCCTGTCTCCTCTGATGGTGGAAAGTGCCCTTGACCTGGCTGTTGGTGACTGAGCACAGGTGAGACGAGATTCCAAACCAGAGGCAAGTTGGGTTAGACCGCTGAGGCCCCCCAATGCCGAAATTCCATGGTCATCTACATCTCGTCCTTGAACTTCAATGCCAAGTCCGTGAACAGCAATAGCACATTTTCTGTCGAGTGTGGACACTCAAGTTTCTGCTGCTTTAATAAATACTATATTTTTATCTAATTGGGACAATGCAGAGGAGTGCAAAAAAGAAGCACTTTGAGGAAAACTTACAATAACGCTCCATCAATTTCAATGCCGGTATCTTGGTGACGGCCACACTGAAGTGATCAGCCAGTTATCTTTCTATTCGGCTTCAGTTTAAAAGCACAAAACGAAGAATTTAGGAACTAAAATGGGCTCCCACAGTACAAATGTTTTAAAAAGCTGGGCCGTGTCTTGGCTGGTATTACTGGTTACCTACATTATTAGAATGCCAACCGCTATTCGTCAGGCCTTGGAAAACTCAGATACCCTGTGAATAAAAAAGACATCAAATGCTTTGGCATCATTGTAACCTTAAGCATATCATATTTTTGGAAAGTGAATAATCTCTGTCTTCTTAACATAGCAATTCCATCTGGATTTGAGTGTTTATTCAGAATCCCCCGTTCCCAGGGGCTCACAGACTCTTCAATATGGGGACAGCACGCCAGGACGCAGGTTTTGTGATGGCTCCCGGCTCTCAGCGCTGTCCCTCGCCTGGCTGAGTGGCTTTAGGCAGAATTATCCCCTGCACCTTTGTTTCTTTATCTCCACCTAAGGAATAACACCACCCATAGTTCAGGGCTGTGTGAGGCTGGGAGACGGCAGGGCTGATGCGTAGTAGGGCCGTGTCTCCGGGTGACTTTGTCTTTCTAAAGGCGCTTCTCATTGTTCCGCAGCTGGATTGTCCTGGAGAAAGTAAGGAATCAATCGCGTCCCTTTGGGAAGCTGTCTCAACTTTTTAAACCGAGAGGATCTGGATTCACCGAACAGTTCTCTAGTGATCCGAAAGGCTTGCCACAGCCTCTCCTGGCTTCCAGAGAGAAGTCAGCGTATGTGCCCTCAGGACAGGGCTGTTCTAGGTGTTAAACACATAGCCAGTGTTCTTATCTTCTGCACACAATCCATAATGGTACCCAGTCGAAGCCCTTACCTTCGTTCATCCACCAGGAAGTCCCGTTCAGCAGTCACCAGGTGCGGAGAGCTGTGTTGCCCCCTGAATTCTAATTGATTTAATCTGGCTATTTTTGTGTATCTCCTGTGTTATTTCCCCATATTGTGCAGGGAGTATTTCTCCAGACTCTACATCCACGTTATGGGTGCAATTTATATACAATTCCACATCTAATCTGAGGCTACGTTATTA